CTCTTCCCCTAGCCAGGCAAGGGTAATTTCTTGGAAGTCTTACCGATTACTTACACTCCATATCTCGGAGATGGAGGGGGCGTGGTCGTGTACCCCGTTGGAGTGTGGCGGGCGGTGCACCTCTGGTGGGATATTTACGTTTTCGGGAAAGTGTAAAAATGTCTTTGGCCAGCACAACACAGACTAAATGGAAATCTGCGAACAACGTTTTACATACCATGCTCAAATAGAGCACGTAGCCACGCCCTCTACATCGCCGGGATATGGAGTGTGCGCAACGTACAGCTGCCAATCAGCTAGAGGGATGACCGTGCACAAAAGAAAATGACGACATTGGTTCAACAACAGAGTTACATCGCGGGGGGCGAGTAACGGAACCCCATGCTACGTTGCCCCTCCCCTATATCGCACTCAAGTTTTAAATACTTGGCCAAGAAATCCACATATGCACAACAAAAACAATAACAACACAGAGTACCGCCTGAGTTTCTTTGACTAGGTACTGAATAAGATACTTGGAAAGGATAAAAGCCAAAAAATGGCAGTTGATACAAATAATCGGATATTTTTCGAGGTAGAAACAGATATTGTTGGGAACGATGGCTGGGGGCGGGCGGTTGTCGCCAACGTCATTGGTGAAAAGGGTGAGTGGGATGTAGCTTTACGCCCTCTCGGAGCTGTCTCACCAATGACACTGGCAGCAACCCCGTCTCCAGCAGTCGTGCATACTGCCTTCAAATGAGAATTCACCTCTACGCATTCACATATGTCTCAGCGGGTAGCTTGGTATCCACAGAAGTAAAAGTGAACTTATGTGCTTTGGATGTCGGCTGTACTGCGTCAACAAGCTCCGACTCATCAGCCTCGTCCTCTTCACTTTCCTCTTTTATCAATGCAGTGTCAATTTTCTTCAGCGCTTTGTGCCGACATTTGGCTATCCTATCCGACGTCCAGGTCAACTCACGTCCTGATCGTTCTGCATCACGCGCTGCTGCATGCACCTATTGATTATATTGTCAATTTAGCCACAACCATTAACACTTAGCCAACCATGCCACACCACACCACTGCAAGCTCCGCCTTCTAACCACGCCCACTTCTGCGTTTTTTTTGAGGAATTTCCATCTTCTCTCAAAATTTTCACTTTTTTAGAACTGCCACGGGAAGCCACGCCCACTACGTGAAGCTCCGACCGTTTCGTACAAGCTCCGCCCACTTCCGAAAAATGTCTTAAATCAGCAGGCAGACTAAACTCGTGTGCTTTTTGCTCCGAGTGACAAGTAAGGCTCGTAACTACTACTTAAGAGTCTACCTGCCAATTTGAGGCATTTTATGAAATTGTGCGGAAGTTATACGAAGTGGGCTGAGCTTCTGATGGTGGGCTTTGCATCCCTTGGCAGCTCAAGAATGAAAAATTTTGCAATAAGATTGAGATTTGCAAAAAGGTAGACGTGGCTGTAGGTACGGAGCTTTCAGTAGTGCCTAGTGCGGCACGTCTGACGGCTTTAGGTCTCAAATTTGAATCGAAAAATCGTGAATTCGATTTGAAAACTCGCGAATTTGAAGTAGAAATGAAATACATTTTTCGACTTCAAGGGAATTCGATCAATTCCACAAATGAGCTAAAGATAGATTCACGCGTGGGCTCAATTACCACTTAACTAGCTTCGTTTAGCGTAGACTGCGGTCCCAGACGATGGGGCATCAGTCTACGCTAAATTCTTCATTAAGAGGTTTTCACGAGCGCCGAGTTATATAAGTCGTCGGGGTACACAACTGAGATCATTGTGTGAGGTAAGAGTTGCAACTGGACACAAAAACACTGTAAACAAGTAAAACCAGCTAATCCTCTCCACCAGGAGAAGTGTCCCTTTACTGCGCTACCTCTAAGCCTTGCCAACACCTGGGACGCTTTTTCGCGCATGCTGCACTCTTGCTGATGTCCACTGGCAACACCCATACTTGCAAGAAGTCGCGTTGCACACGAAGCGTCTGTGAGTACCTTGCGAGCGCTTTTATACTTTGCGATAGACCGAATAAATCGCGCGATCCGAGCAACTCATTACAATATTTTGCCACCGCAACATCGATAGACTTTCTACGACAGTCAACTGGTTCTAATGAAGCGGCAAACAGTGTGGGCTACTACTGACTACTTGAACTCACTCCCTGTAATTAATTAATAACTAATTACTATTTAGTCAATACCTGCGCTCTCTCGTTACATGGCGTTCTGTGACCACCAAGACCTCACACATTCCAACTACTCACGCATGGCAAGTGGCTCTCCCATCTCGGACTAACCTCTCCTTGAAATCACCCCATACCTGAGCCAACCGTGTGTCCCTACGTACCCCTCAAAGCTCTGGCAATTGTTGTCCTCTGTCTGCCTACTCTTCAAAGTTCGCTACAGTACTAGGTTCAAGTGGTCACTTGACCGAAACGGTATATCCTTACCTGCCGTAGAAAATACGGCCCTCCATGATTGACCATCCAGTTATAAACAGATCGCGGTATACTCGCTTCAGGGTTGTCAAAGTACGTCAAGACAAAATCTAAAAAAAATCAACGCATAGCTCTCTCCCTCAACATTTTTTTACTCTATCTCCAATTTTCTCAGAAGAATTTACAAATCTACAGCCTTGTTCGCTGCGCATGATGCGGGGTGTCAGTCCATCCTCCAGCCCATCCTCCGCTAGTTATTGAAGCGGGTAAGGAACAACAGAGAAGAACGACTTGTACAAACAATATGACGGTGTTATCGCTTATCGAGAGATAACAAGAAAGGAATTGGGCTGGCGTCGCGCCAAACCCAACCCCACTAACACATCCTACCACCCACAGCGAGCAAGACTGTAATCTGCTATAGAATGGACTCACCGAGACCGTGGTCATCGAATTCTTTATGGGATCTCACAGCCATTCGAGACCGATAAGTAGCCACCCGAACATTCTTAGGACCTCCAGGAATTAACTGAAAGTTTTTTAAAAGTCTAATGGAACTCATTCAGCCTCATAGAAAAGGGATTGGAAAGAAGACTGGCGCAGTTTGGCGACTAAGCGACGGGGAGGGGGAGTATTTTGGACTTGCTGTGGTGTTAATTGCTTTACAGGAGTTGACAGGTACCTTTTACAATTACTGACAAGTTGCTTCGTTAGAATTTTAGCTGTTATCACTTCATAGCCTCACAAGATTTCACAGATTTCCACTTATGGATCGACACAGTGGAAAGCAGCAGAGTGGAAAATGATCCCCCCCCCCTTCTCGCCGAACCGACAAGATTCCCTGATTTTCTAATTTATGGCAAGGAAATAGCGGGTTCAAATATTGAGAGAAGGAGACTTTCAAAAAAATGAGCACAAAAATTGAAACTCACATGCGTCGGAATAACTTCACTGTCGACAATGACCGTATGAGAATCCTCAGAAACCCATGTTCGTCGGGCATAGACGTATTCTCGAGGATACAACGGATATGGATATTTCTGCACCCACCGAATCAACTAAAAGAGTGTCATCTCATGATCTTCTAAAAAACTGTTACTTTTTGAGGCTACTGAAAGCAACATCAAAAGCACAGTCCGCGATCACACCAGGACAATATTAATAAGGATAATATTTCAGCAATGAATGAGCATGAGCTGAGCAGAGACGCAGAGACGCTCAGCAATGCAACCCCAGTCCCACCGATGATGCCCTTCGTCAGCCTTTCTCTAAACATTCACCCGTACTAAGCCTCCTTTTTGTCCTTATTACGTAAATTTTCTGTTTTCCCAGCTCTGCCTCCTGCTTATTTCAATTTCAACTGAATCCTCAATCCGTTCGGTTGAAAATGGTTCAGATCAGCGCAGTAGATCGAAAGTAGCCACAAACCGCCAAAAGTTAAAGGCGTGCAACAAGAAAGCTTGGTGCTCGGTCTGAAATGGTGGCAGTGGTGCCGCATAGTGGGGGAAACGACGAAAAGTCAAAGTTGAACAAAGAACTGCAATTCCTTATTCCGCACGACTGTGGACGAGTACTCGCTTGGAAGCAATTTCGGAGCAGTTCTCTTGGCATCGTGCCAACAACCGCCCAGCTAGATACGACTGCATGGACTTATTCATATTTCCATCACCAACACCCAGGCGCTTCACATGTCAACTGAACTTCGTAGATGAAGTCATTAGAATATCGGCCTCGATGCGGCCGTTTGTGGACGAGCGTTGCGATGGACATCTGGGTCGGTAGTTGCACTTTGGTTAGACGCAACATCCCAACCCAGACGCCTTTTCTGACCAAACCGATGTAGCTTGCTTAGAAAAGGCGCCACGAATATTCCTTCGTGCGAGGCATACTTACCTTATACGCCTTGCCGACTTATCTGGCAACTTTTCTTCAAGTCATAAGCCCCTGGCATCCATACCAGGTATTTCAAGCATCAGACTGGTACAGTGCGGTTGCGGACCTACTCATTAGTATGGGGATTAAAATTTAAGTCTTCGCCGTCAATCAGTCCCTTTTGGAAAGCGGCACGCATTCTACCTCATTTCAGAATCGTATTGGCTTACTAACTAGGGAAGGTCGTCAGGTCGAAGTGGCCATTTGTAATGAGATGTAGCTCACTAGACGTGGTTTTGGACGCTGATCTCGAATCTGCCTTCGAAATTTGCAGAAGCGATTCTCTGAACGGAGTTATGGAGCTTTTTCCACCACCACGCAACAGGTCGTGGGATCGGATCCCTGCTGAGCTTAACTTTTTTGCTTCTTGTGCAAACGTGGCAAAAAGTGGTTGTGGCGTCACTACTACATTAGCGCTCTCCTTGACTTGCCTGAAAAACAGTTTGTGTTCGCTTACTGGCGCGCTTAGTGCCTTATGTGCCCTAGTGCTCTAGGAGAATTTTTGGATGTACAGGTGCCCTTGGCGCGGAGTGCAGGCGTTTTCGCGCTGAGCGAGTGCCATATTCTTGTTTATCGGAGCGAACTACGCCTAGGTAGAGGTTTCTAGCCAAATCTGGCGTTTTGACCTGACTTCGAAAAGTGAAGCATCCATGGGTTAGTTCAGTTGATGTTCACACCTATTCAGCTGCAGATACATTCTCCTGCACAAAGCCTCGTCTTGCCACTTCTTACGCATTCATGTTGTTACTGCTCCAGTTTTCCTGGTATCTAAAAGCAAATTCCGTCCAAAGACAAGCAATCGACAAGAGACTGGCCCTGGAACTATTGGTGACCATCATTCGATCAACTGCTACCGCACTTTTCAAAGTTAGGTCAAAACCTCACATCTGGCTAGAAACCTGTCCCCAAGGGTAGTTTTGCTCCCTGAACACGAATATGGCACCCATTTGGCGTTTGAGTGTTTTCTAGACTTAAAAGAGACATTCCCACAAAATGCAACCGCGCTCGACTCTGTTTTCCTTCATTTTAATTCTAACAAACCTTCATAATTCCGTTCAGAGAATCGTTCTGCAAATTTCGAAGGCAGATTCGAGATCAGCGTCCAAAACCACGTCTAGTGAGCTACATCTCATTACAAATGGCCACTTCGACCTGACGACCTTCCCTAGTAAGTGCGATGTGACCTATACAACGACTTGTGATGACCAGCCGATGTGAAATCCAGTGTTCATATCTTTAAAAACGAATTTGGTACCAATTGACCGCCTCCGGAGAGTTTTAGGGTATGCGGGAACGATCCTCAGACAGCGCGAATGGTAAACGTGCCACTTTCCTCTACACCACCTCCGCCTCACTCATTGTGTACACGGAAGGAATTCCACATACAACTTAACAGCGGACTGTACCTTTACTGAACGGGAAAACGGTGACATGAGAGCAAGCTTCGGGGGTCGCTATGAGTTTAAACCTTGCCTAGTAAGTGCGATGTGACCTATACAACGACTTGTGATGACCAGCCGATGTGAAATCCAGTGTTCATATCTTTAAAAACGAATTTGGTACCAATTGACCGCCTCCGGAGAGTTTTAGGGTATGCGGGAACGATCCTCAGACAGCGCGAATGGTAAACGTGCCACTTTCCTCTACACCACCTCCGCCTCACTCATTGTGTACACGGAAGGAATTCCACATACAACTTAACAGCGGACTGTACCTTTACTGAACGGGAAAACGGTGACATGAGAGCAAATAACTACTGCAATAGCATAAGAGAATTGCTAACCTCATGCTCATCTTCCTCCTTCAAGAGCTCCAAACGCATCACGTTACTATCCCACTCTTTTCGAAACTTTAAATCGTTCTGTACATCTAAAAAATATTCTGTAAAAGGAAGGAATGACAACGAAATTTAAATTTTCATGGAAAAGGTCGGGAACAGGTATAGATTGGCTGGGTTCAGCTGTTGTTTCAGTTCAAGTTGAACTTCTAAGTAATCCTACCTTATCGATGGGCACTTATATAGAAAACCAGTCGAACGCTGATGCTAGCGCTCCTTCCAAAAGGTCGAGGTACTTATTTGAAGCCAACCAATCCCCTCATTTACGCTGGAATAACGCTTCTTACCACCATTAGATAAAGGGTAAAAGTGTTGGAAGTAGTAGATAGGACGGTATAGGATGAGGAGTACTGTTCAAGTCCATAACTGAGAGAAATGTTCGGCACCAATCGGATTACCGAAAGAAACCGCCCCTTCCGCCCCCCCCCCCCCCCTGGCGAAACCAGGCCGATACAGAAACATCGGTGTCAGCCGGCAACTCGTCGAGTTAGCATTAAATTGAATTAAATAGAAACTGCTCCGAAAAACTGACCGAGGAAATAATTTGGACTAATGTCGTAGTAAGAGCCAACGCATTTGTACTCGTACATTTCGTATTTACCCGGTACTCG